ACTCCACGGCAGTGGGTGTGGTTTGGGCTTTGCTTCTGTGAAGATTGACAGCCTTGGAGACCCTGTGGGGCAGTTCCACTCTGTCCTCTAGGGGCCCTGTGAGTTGGAAAAGACTCAACTGCAGCAGGTTTTCTTTGGGTGGTGTGTAACAGAAGTCCACACAAAAATTTCCTTAAGTGAGGGAGAACAATGTGGAACAAAACTCAAAATCATTTAAAAAAAAAGAAAGGGTGGGGGGAGGCACCAAGTTTGCTGGTCTGATGGAGCCTGGTGGAACCACTGGGACTATGGCCCCTAGCTGCTCTTCTGGTCTGGAATTGAATGCACTCCTGTAGCTTTCAGCCAAACAAAAGACAGGCATATGAGCTGAACATTTTCATCACGTAGATACACTCCTTGGAGAGATCAATCAGGGGAGAATAGAAGGGCTGTGTATGCGCAGGGAGCCAGCTTGGGGCAGGAGTGTATGGAGGGATGGACACAGGGAAGAGGTCACTGTGGGGAGGAAGTGAGAGGGGAGCTGTTGCATTGTGGGAAACTGTGGTCAACATCATGAGACAAAGTGTATGTGAACTGCTGTATGCAAAGTGAATTTGCTCTGTAAACTTGCACCCAAATCACAATAAAAATCCCCTCAGGAGGAATTGGGAGCTCTGGTAGCATAGTGCCTAAAGCACTTGACTGCTAACCAGAAGGCTGGCGGTTGAAACCCACCAGCCACTCCTTGGAAGGAAGGTTGGGCCATCTACTTCTGTAGTGACACTGCCTCAGAAACCTAAGGAAAGGTCGCTATGAGTCGGGTCTGACTCGATGGCACATAACAACAACAACAACAGCAGGAGGAATTAAACTGAGGAATTAACTCATATCAGAGAAACCCAGTGGAAGTCTGTCTTCCAGCACAGCGGGGTCCTGGTGCCCAGGGCCCAGGAACTAGGTCCTTAGAGGATCTCTCTTCATTCCCACTCTCCCTCCCACAGTCTGGGCCTGCCTACCTTTCTGTGGGCCTTGTTCTCAGGCACCTTCCACCTCTACCAGGTCTTTGACTCTGATAATCATTAAGGAGAGAGGTCCTTCTCTCCCTGACATCCATGACAATCCTGTCGAAGGGACTCTTGTGGGCTGAAGTCATTCCCAAGAGAGAGAAAGGGACTGTGTTACTGGAAGGAGGGCGAGTGGGTGCCGGGCAAGGACAAACAGCTCGTTTGCATGCCAGCAGGACTCACGCTTCAACGAGGTTGTTGTGTGTGTTGTCAAGTTGATTCCCACTCATAGCAACCCTATAGGACAGAGTACCACTGCCCACGGGGTTGCCTACATTGTAATCCTAATGGAAGCTGGTTACCATGTTTTGTCTCCCATGTTGGGTTCTTGAACTGCCAACCTTCTGGTTTGTGGCTAACCATTGCGTCACCAGGGCTCTTTCTCTTGAAGGTTTGCTGCTGTTGTTAGGTGCCCTCGAGCGGGTTCTGACTCACAGCAACCGTTTGTGCCACAGAACAGAACACTGCCCAGTCCTGCGCCAGCCTCAGGATCCTTGCCGTGGCTGAGCCCATCCCCGCAGCCACTGTGTCCGTCCAGCCCCTTGAAAGTCTTCCTCTTCTTCGGTGACCCTCTGACTTTACCGAACATGACGTCCTTCTCAAGGACCGGCCCCTCCTGCTAACGTCCAACATACGTGAGATGAAGTCTCACCATCCCCCTTCTGAGGGGTGTTCAGGCTGTACTTCTCCCGGACAGATGTGTTCGTTGTTGACAGTGAGGGGAATAGAAAGTGAAGCCTAATGCCTGCTGACGCATAGCAGCCGCTCAGTGAGGACATGGTATGTTGAACGGTTGAGTGTGTGCCAGCCAGCCACGCTTTGTTGAGAGTTTGGAAAAACACAAGGAAATTACACACTCCAATTCCACACTCACCTGTGTTGACTCCTTCCCAGAACTGTGAACGGACCAGGACGCCTTCGGGAAATACTTTAGCTGATCATCCGTCTGCCATGCCCTTGACAGCAAGGTGCTCCCACATGTCCCCTCTGTAACTAGGACAGAACAATACACTGCACTGAGTTCAGTTAACAAAGAAAATCAGTGAGTGGTATTGACCACCCTGTGGTGTCCTCCTAACAGACTTAAAGGGGGTGAAGACACCGTTTCTAACAGCAGCAAAATACTGCTTTAAGAGCAGTTCTGAGGAATGTCAACATTTTTTAAGCTTGGAAGCCCTGGGGGCCCAGTTAAACACTGGGCTGCTAAGCTGAAGGTTGGCAGTTTGAACTCACCTGGTGGCTCCGTGAGATAAAGACCTGGCAGTCCGTTCCCATAAAGATCACAGCCTTAGAAACCCTGGGGGGCAGCTCTCCTGTGTGGCGTGGGGGCGCCCTGAGGGAGCACCAGCTGGCACCCAGCAGCAACGATGCCCCCCTCTCGGCCCACCCGTCGTCCTGAGGCCTAGGGATCTGTCCACGGGGAACGCAGGGGTCCACAGGAGAATCTCCATGCTCACGGGGCCTGAAGATAAGGTTTGTGAAGAAAAGGAGGACTTCAGTGTGTTTAACTTTAGAAGGAATAGCGTGAGAAAGGCTTTGAAAGAGTTGAATTGTTTCATTCTGCAGAGAAATCAAGTTCTCCTCCTGCTTGAGGGAGACAGACTTGTGCTTTGATGTAATAGATTTGCTTTGGTGTTCCCAAGCCTACACTGAAAGTAGTAAAATGTGAGATAAGACTATCAAGAGGGGAGACAGAATGCCTTCAGAAGAACCTAGGATTGGTAAGATAGAACCAGTTAAGCCTTTGGATGCTAACCAAAAGGCTGTTAGTTTGAACCCACCACCTGCTCTGAGGGACAAAGATAAGGCAGTCTGCTTCTGTAAAGATGAGAGCTTTGGAACCCTGTGGGGCAGTTCTATGCTGTCCTCTAGGGGGGCTATGAGTTGGAATTCACTGGGCAGTGGATTTTTTGGGGGATGGGAGGGATAACCTTAATCAGCACTACCCGACAGAAATACAATGTGAGCTTCATTCTAAATATTCTGATCAAGTCAATTCAGACTCAGAGCAGTGACCTTCGTTGAGTTTCTAAGTCTATAAATCTACACAGAAGCAGGCTGTCTCAGCGTCCTTCCATGGAGTGCCTGTTGTTGTTGTTGTTTGTGCTGTCGAGTCGGCCCTGACTCATAGCGACCCCTCCTTGGGTTTCCCAGGCAGTATCACTACGGAAGTAGGATTGCCCAACCTTCCTTCTGAGGAGTGGCTGGTGGGTTTGAACCGCCAGCCTTCTGGTTAGCAGTCAAATGCCTTAGGCGCTATGCCACCAGAGCACCTTCAGTAGCCTAAGTCATCCTTAAAAAATTAATCAATCTTTAAATATTAATTTTAATAATATATCTTTTTTAACCCAATATATCTAAAGTTTAATGTGAACCTCCAATCAGTAAAAAGAATTATGAATTATATATTTTGCTTTTTTGTGTGTTTCTCATACCAAGTCTTCAATATCTGCTGTTTGATCCTCAGTTGCCCTGGCCGTACGCCAGGTGTGCGATCACCGTGGAGGGTGGTGGCTCCAGGAGGAGAGAGAATGGACATTGATGCCGAGATTCCTTGACTAAAACCTGCCCATGTGTTTCTTTTCCAGAAGAGGACGAAGGAGAAGTTGGTACATGTCCTTTCTTTGTGTGGCCAAGAAGTAGGACTGAGCAAAAACCCATCAGTAAGTTTCAGCACAGATCACACTTGTGTGGGGCAACCTCTGGGGGGAGCCTGTCTTTCTCGCCTTTGGTTCCAGAGTTTTGAGGATTCAGCTGGGAATTACAGCGGTGGGTCTGTGGCCTGCCATCCAGACCACAGCTCTCACACCATGACCGTCATTCTCAGTGCAGACAGCCAACAATTTTGCTTTTACTCCAGTATGTCCGTGAGTAAATACTCAGTTAATTTTTTCTTTTTCAATTTATTGTACTTTTTAAAAAAATTTGCCCAGACTTCCTTAAAAGAAATGATGTAAGTATCCACTGCACTGCTATGCATTATGTACATTTCTTTTGGCTGTAATTTTGCTCTGTGTACGTACCTCATGGAGCCCTGGTGGCACAGTGGTTAAGCACTCAGCCGCTCCCTGAAAGGTCAGCTGTTTGAACCCACTCAACTGTTCCATAGGAGAAAGATGAGGCAGTCTGCTCCTGTAGCTTGAGAGCCTTGGAAACCTGTGGGGCAGTTCCACTCTGTCCTCTAGGGGCGCTGTGGGTCAGAATGGACTCCACGGCAGTGGATGTGGTTTGGGCTTTGCTTCTGTGAAGATTGACAGCCTGGGAGACCCTGTGGGGCAGTTCCACTCTGTCCTCTAGGGGCGCTGTGGGTCAGAATGGAC